CAAACAAACAAACAAACACAAATACAATAATTACTCAGGCTTACCGTTCGAGATTCAGCTCCTGAAAGCTATCAAGTAATGTCAGAATCGCTTGAGACTTTTCATCCCTCTTACGCATCCAGTAAGGTGAAAAATGAAAACGATGCCATCCGAAATCGGATTTCCGACTTTGACAAGCGGCACACTTCTCAAGCAAAAATTCAATAAACAAACCAGCCATGAATAACAGAAGACTCTTGATAGCAGCTGTATTTCATTTTGTACTTTCAGTGGAAAAAAGACAGTTGAAAACATCACAAGTTGACACAAAACTCTGTCAGCTTCAGCTGTCAAAGTATTACAAGTTGTTTTTTTTAAAAAATGCTGTATGAATTTCCGCATGAACTCACCTGCCAAATTTTGACTAATCAGAGCATAAAAATTAAACGTAGAGCGTGATCAACGCGTGACTGTGGTGAGAAAAGTGAAAAGCATCTGTCTTCCCTTCTTGTATTTACCAAGGTGGCCCGAACCTATTTACACGCGCGTTGGTTGTTTTTTTGATCGCGTTTTTCGGCAGCAATAATTTAACCGATTTCCATGATTTTTGGCATCCTTAATAAAAAATGGTCGAACTTAAAAAAAATGTTGTTTATTTTCTTGCAGGTATATAAACGTTTCAGATATCGGCATATGTCTAGAACCGCATTTTTTTAAAAAATGTCAATAATTTCAAAACCCTAAGACAGATTTTTCTCTGACTTCGGCAAATAAGCCTCAGAGCTCTAGTTTCATATCTGCAAGTTTGAAGTCAATTGTGACCATAGAACTCGCTACACAAATAGCTGGTCAATTTTAACCTTACAATGCAACGCTAACACGTTTGTGAAAGTTAGATGGAGGACAACTGCCGACGGACTCTCTCCTATCTGCAAGGGTATTCTTGCCCAAAACTTAAAGGAACAGTATCCCGTTACTGCGCATGGACCAAACTTTGATGTTTGGACAGGATGTCGCGAAATCAAAAGATGCGAGGAGAGTAAGTGAACCTTCAAAAATCCGTTTGCATCGCGCTTGGCCGGGTTCAATACGACAATTAAACTTCTCAGGATTACAGATCAGTGATATATTGTTCCGGTTAAGTTTCGATTTGGGCAAAATCTGGATTTTATGGAGTTGCTTTTATTGCCGTTGGCCAGAGGACCAAAAGATTGGAAGCACTTTGATGCTGATTGAAGGCTTATTTCTTCCGCTAGCTTCCATACAAGCTCAGATAATTGTGAAAGGAATACGCAGAAATGAAACAGCAACAATAAAGACTGTAAGAAAGAAACCATTGAGACATTGATGTGACTGAGGAGATCTTGTGGAGGGGAGCTTCGCGAAGCAGAATGTCTTGCAACGACACGTTAATAAACTTTTAAATGAATCTCCCTACGGCCGACAAAATCAAACAAACAGGCGCTACATGTTTAGAAAAACTAGTACCCTGAAATCATAATATAATTTTTGACTAACCTTTGTGATGATTCATAGCGTTGAGATTGCATTTTTTTAATGTCTTTCAATGTTTGAGGCTAGAACGCGAGCAAATCAGGCAGATATTACTGGGGTGCTTACCATTTGACAGAAAATTTCGGAAATTCCGGATGGAAGATAAATGGTAAGACCACGTTTCGGAAATTCCAACCGAAAATTGAGGAGTACGTTTTGAGGTAGTCCTTTCATTCCGGTTGGTACGAACCAAACGGAATGTTGCTTACCATTAACCAATTTCTCGGTTCCAGACTCACGCTACACAAATTCGCCCTTTTTTGGATTCAAACCGTAACGGATGTGACATTTCTACGGTAAACTGGTAAATCGTTTACCATTATACTTTCGACCCCTCAACCGGATTTTTCTGTCAAATGGTAAGCACCCCTGGACTTGGCACAACTGACCTCTGACACGAGTTTCAAATTTGAAAATATGTTTTTAAAGCGAGCGAAACGAGATTTTCGGGTCGCAAGGCGGCCCAGCTAGCGATAAAATCGCGATGAGTCTTCGAACCGCGAGCCAAATATTTAAATAAGACGAGAGACTTCTTCGAAAGTCTAAAATATTACTTGAGAATATAAACAACAAATCTCCGTCGGCGGTGCGGTCCGGAAGGAAATCTTGTCGAGTCAATATGACAGTTCTATTGTCTTTTGAAGAAAAAACAGATGACGCTCGCGCGTGCGCATAATCGGGACACTGTCCCTTTAAGTTGCAAGAAACTGAGTAATGAGAAACCTACGGCAAATACAGTTCGCAATACAAGAAGAACAACTTTAAGGTAAAAATTTAAAATTTTAGTACATTGCTCGATTTTGTTTTTTTTTTTTTGGCATCAGTGGGTCCTAAATTTTATTTTGGCAGAAAAAGAAAATCAGAAAGTACTTTTTAACCCTTCTAAAATGAGCCTTTTCTGTTTCCCGCCATAAGTTGCGCGCGAAAAGTGATTGACAGCGCCTGTCTATTGCGTGACACTCACTCTATTTTAGACGCAAAAATCAAAATTCTCCGACCTCCAGTCGGGACAGGTTTTAAGCTATCGCTTTGAAGCTTTCAGATATGATGGATAATGATATAGACTCAAAAAGGGTGTGAGGAATTTTCCGATTTCCCTTTGTAACTCATTTTATGTCAGTTTCTTTGCCTAAATCGCGCTCGAGATTCGACTTTTTAGTTTGAAATGCAATAATTCCGCTAATACGAGACATATGCAAATTTCCTCACACCCTTTTTTAGGTCATTAATCTCTCAATCAGATGCAATAAAAAGGAAGTGAATATTTAACAACGCGAAAGGGCTGGAGCTTCAGCAGTAAACTCGATACCTCTGAGTTCGAGAGCAAAAACCTTGAGCGCCTTTTGAAATTCGATGAAATAAAATCTTTTATAAGGTAATTTAGTCTTTTAGCTTTAATTTGATATATAACTTGCCTTTGTGGCGAAAATACTCGCGCGACTAGAATTTTTTTCTGTGGGCACCTCGTTTTCCTTTACCGAGACCTTAAGGTGAATGTGGGGCATTTATCAAAGTTACTGTGTATTTTCCCTTCTCTTTTCTCAAAAAATCTCAACAAAGCACGATATAACATCTACGGAAATCTCCTACCAGTTTTTAGCACTGAAGACTCCTGTCTTTAGGAGAAATAAAGCCACTAACTCCAGTACTTCAACCAATCCATTTTCAGCTGCAACGAAAACCTTTGTACTAGGTAATTTACTCAAGTTTAAAAGATTTGCCGTCACATTCGCACGCAAACATTTTGCCTTTAATTATAATGAAAAGAATAAGAAGATTGTCATATTTGCTTCATCTTTATCCCTAAGTGGCAAACTTCCCGTGCGAAGGCGATGTGCGATGTCAAGTCTAAAAACTTTGAATAAATTAAAAATATGGAAATATTTTGAATGAATAATAATAAATATTACGACATAAAAACGAACTTAAGGAAACGATAACTTAAAAAGTTTGAGAGGAAAATCAGGTGAAACTTTAAAGAAAAACTTAATTTAACAGAATTTATATATAAAAAACCGAAATTGGTAATTATGTTCAGATTTATTTAGTTTACCAGCAATTGACTAAAAAAGCGCTAAGAGCCCTGTTCAATATGAGACTTGTAAACTGCATTTTGTTATTAATACAGGAAACTCAGCTGGTGATAATTTATCTTCTGAATACATTGGGTTCGCAACGTTGTTTTCTGTCCTGATAATGACGGACCTTATCGGCAACACCCTGGTAATCTTAGTCATAACGACTAACACGAACATGCGAACATCCATGAATTATGTGTTGGTCAACTTGGCTATCGCTGACATATTGGTGGCCATTTTTATGGGTGTCAAGTTTGTGATTACTCCAACATTTGTGCATCCATATGGAATAACAGGTCAGTATCTCTGTAAATTCATCACTGGTGGAACAACAGCTTGGACGGCAGCAGTGGCCTCGATTTATAGCCTGGTAGGCATTTCAATAGAAGCTCACCAAGTGGCTTTTCATCCTCGTAAAAGGCGTGTTGGCCCAGGAAGGAGCCTTTACAAGACACTTGTTCTAATCTGGCTTGTAGCACTTTTGTGGGGACTTCCGTTGTACCTGTCAGTCACATATGTGGAAAACCTGGGGACATGCGCGGAGCAGTGGCCACACCCCGTATTTCCAAAAATTTACAGCTTTGGTTGGATTATTGTAGCCGGAGTTTTCCCAATTGCAACGATGAGCATCTTGTATTTTAAGGTAACATAAAGTTTTTGCGAAGCTAAAATTTACTTAAAATAATGTAATTGTAACCTCTGACATAAAATAACAAATAGAGAAAACTAAGCCTTTTTTATGTTTGTGTAAGCGAGACATTTCACGCCGCTCTTCATGTACGGTGAAATGGACATAAGGGATTACGTATTTTGATGGTACGTGACCTTCAAAATCCTTCGCATCGATAGATTGGCCAGTGAGATTTCCTTACCAAGAGGTATCCGCCGCTGGAGGCGTGCAAGCTGCTTTGCTTATTAGTAATGATGTTTTCCATTTAGTCTTAAAGGTAAAGTTAAAGTTAAAGCCTTGGGCTTATGTACCCCTCACAACCCACCCTATGTTTTCAGTGATATCAGCTACTAATGACAAACAGGGGACTATGAAATGGATTTACCGAGCTTCAAAGGCGACGTCAAACGCGCGATACAGACCACCTTTGCACGCCCTTGTACATCTTTGACGCGCGACAAATACCTGTCTTTGACGCCTTTAACCCTAACCTTTGACACGCGTCAAAGGTGTTATTTGATTAGCCTTTGTGCGCTTATCAAAGGTGTCGTCAAATATGTCGGAGATTCGAGTCAAAGGTTTGACAAAGGTGCGGTAAAGTAGTGTCTTAGATTCAAGTCAAAGGCTTGCTAAAAGTGTCGTCAAATGTATCCACTTGAGGATCAGGTCAAAGGTTTGACAATGGTGTGGTCTAATATATCTAATATTCAAAGGTGTTGCCAAGTATGTCTGGGTTTTAAGCCACAGGCGTGATAAAGGAGTAGTCAAGTATACGTTATATTCAGTGAAATGTCTTACGAAGGTATTGTCAAATACCCTCGTGGGTGGATTCACTTTCCACATGTGTGTATAGCCCTCGCATTTTTCCCGTTAAAGTTATTTCATTGTTTTAAGCTTAAAACCAACAAGAAGTCAAACGAGCAAAAACGACGGCTAAACATCTAAGTGGGAAGTGAATCCAGCCTGAGATTCCAGTCAAATTCAATTGCGACCTGGACCTTGTTACTTTTAGCTGTGAAATAATTTTAAAAGAATATATAAATTTGAGATGAATAATTCAGTCATTGCGTTTTTTTCGGCCCCACTCCCTTTTTACTATCGCCCCTTTTCAGCAGTGAAAAATTCCTCCTTTTTCTCTACTTTTGTCAAAGCTTAAAGACACAGGTAAAACGTTAAAATTCAAATGTGAAGCGAACCTAACTGATACATACAAAATTTTTCTTGTATAGCTATGTTTTCGGAAAGTCATTCTTTCAGTTACACTCATGTCATATGAAGTCTTTATAATACTATCATATTATAAAGTGATGTACGTCAAGCAAATGTGAAAATGTTTAGATTGTTAGAAATAGCCAAAAGTAGCAAAAAGCAGTTCAGAAATGCTCATAGAATGGTAAATGCTGCTAGAATCATCACTAATACAATTTAAAAAAGCATCAGAGCATGTACTACAACTAGTTCAGCCATTTTGATTTTTGACAGAAAGGAAACTGGAAAGAAAAAACAGTGAGCCCGACTCCTTAACCACAGGCTACCCGAAAACGACACTGATTTCTTGATATGTCGGTTGTAATACTTGCTTATATGAAGCAATAATTCTGCAGCATCACCAAATCCAGAGTTTAAAAGGGAGCAAGGGAAGAATGGTTGCAGCCCCTGGGATTTTATTAACAGCCCTCTGAATGATGAAATAGCTAAGAATTGTTTTGTTTCATTTGTGCTGCATGCAATTTCTTTCTTCAGACAAGAGCTTGCAGGAATTTGTTTTTCCAAGTCACCCCCTCCTCTCACCCATCTAAAAAGTTAAACGGTTGTCCCCTTACCTAGGTCAAAAGAGTAAGCAACTCGGAGGTTACTTATTTAGCGGCATCTTTGACGCGCATCAAAGGTGAAGTCAAAACCGATATCATACTTTACTTTACTTCTGACAGGCTTTAAAGGTGCAGTAAATCCAATTTTTCGTCCCGTGCAAGTAGCCATTATAGTACAGCTATGTAAAATAAGTAAAGCCATCTCGACAATTACATGTTAGAATGTTATTTGAACGTATCACTCTAAATAAATATCACCACTCTACAGAACGAATTGCCATAAATATTTATATATTGACTTATATATTATTTTTTAACTTTTTTAGGTTGTGCGTCGCCTGTGGTTTAAAGAAAACCCGGATTGCAGTCAATCTCAAATGGCTTTTCTTCGTTCTAAGAAGAGGATCACGGCAATGGTTATTCTTGTCAGCATTATCTATGTGATTTGCTGGGTTCCAACTTTGATGATCTATTTCTTGGTTAGTGTTCTGCCGTCTGAATCAATGTATTCAGTACTCCACAAGACCACTATAGCTCTGGCAACTTTTAATTCCTCCGTCAATCCTATCGTGTACAGCTTACGAAGCCATCAGTTTCGAAAAAGTCTTTACAAATTGATTTGGTGCTACAAAGAGAGGCGTCAAAATATTCAGGTAGTGCCTTTACGATAACTCAAGGGAAAAATTTGGAATGCTGGAATGCAATACAGCCATTGTAAAATAATTGTTATAATCATCAATTTACGATGTCTTAACTCTGAGGTCATTTTGAAGTTGCAAAAACAAAAAGTCACTGAAAATAGACTGGTGTTCTTTAAAATTCTATTACGTCTGTCTATTAATGCCTCATTTCTATGAAACAACAACAACAACAATAAGCTTTATTTGCATGACTACAACAAAGAATTAGAGTATTGCAAAAGCTACTTGAAATTAACAATTGATTCCTTTTAAATTAAATATTAAAATAATTTGAAACATATTAATCATTGTTTATTTTTAACCATCAGTAGGATTAATTATTCCGCAGAAAAGTTTGTCTCTCAATTCAATTAAAGCAAGATGATATAAATGAAATTAATTGGATGTTAATAAAATAGTTAGTAGGATTCATCAGATGTGATAATAAGTTCTCATGTGATTGTAGGTGTAGAAACGGTATTTTAGGTTCTAGTTTAGAGAAGAACATATCTCTTATCGACGAAAAACTTGTACAATCTAATAAGTAAAAAGTGAGTTTCATCTTCAATTCTGTTATATTACAATTGCAGAGACTGCAGAAAACTTGTCCAGGTAGAAGGGTTACCGTTCCAGCCGAATCAACTTTAGCGAGCGATTACATAAGAAAAAAGTTGAGTCCTTTGCCCGAGCTAGCAGCGCTCATGCATGCCTTCAGCGCATGCGCAAACTCTGATAGTCGGGCGTCTTGAACGAGTTGACCCGGCTGGGCGAGGTAAAGTGTTATTAAAATATCACCTGGCTAAGAAGCTTAGTTACCTTTCAAATGTAGGTGAATTTTCTTGCAATTAAATTCTGAGTGATTCTAAGGACTGTGTTCGCATCCTTCTGAAAACTTTGTATTAGGACGTTTCACTTCGTAGCTGTGCAGAGGATGTCAAAGAAATGACTCAAAGAGTTTGATGCACTTGCAAAGCTCCTGTCAGTTGCAAATAAGTCTGTTTCACTCAATTTGGTGACAGTTCCCACTATTTCAATTTTAATACATTTCGTGACACAGTTCCTGCTTTAAGCTCTCTGAGTTATTCCAACGGAGTGTTTTTCTAGGTAATCATCTAAATTAATTTTCAGATTACGAATGAAATGAGCGGGCCAACTTTTATTGAGAGTTATACCATGAGAACTTATCGCCGTTATTGGCTTACACCTAGGAAATTATCGTCTTCTATTTTTTGATGGTTTGAGAATAGTTGGTAACCGCTCGCGCTCCTCTACCTAGGTACTGCAATGTCGGATAATAAGGCCAAGAAGTTCTTTTATTTGGTGGCAAAACAAGAAGATGATGTCTCCAGCTTTTCAATATTCAAACAGTGCGAAAGCCATGCCGAAAAAAAAAAAAAAAATCACAGAATTGACGTAACAGCAAAAGTTTAAAAACACATTTTATGTCCAACTGGCTTCGAACTTAAACAAATCGAAATACTAGCTTTCAAAGGAAAGATGACATAACTATAGGAGAGATTTAGAATTACGTTTATGGTCCCAAACGACAAACTTCAGATTTAAGGTGTATTGGGAATTTCTAAAATTACGAATGGCGAGATACATGTAAGAACTGTCAAAAATAATTCATATGACTGACATGAAATCAAATTTTGGACAAGAGCATACAGACAGGTATTATTTCCTTGGACTTCGCAAAGGCTTTTGACTCCGTTGACCACAACATCTTTCGCGCCAACCTAAGGGCATACGGTACGTGTCTCTGGACAATTTTAAAGTGGTTCAAGAAATACCTGAGTGGGCGGGTCCAGCGTGTTGTGACCATGGTTGATGACACAGCCTCGCAATGGGCTCCTGTTATGTCTGGTGTTCCGCGAGAAGTCTTCTTGATTGGCCCAATACTCTTTACAATTTTTTCATTAATGATCTCCCAAATGCGTCCAAAGTAAAGGTTGTGACAGCTCTGTAAGCAGATGACGCAAAAATATTTAACTGCAATAGTTTGCAAGAAGATTGAATGGCATAAATCCAGGCAGAATTATAATTATAAATTTTTTCTTTATTCATATGTCTGCTTTTTACTTCTTTCATGACTGCAGTTTTGCCCCACTGAAGTGTCCAAAAAAAATTGTGCAGTAATCGAGAAGTAAACTGAGAAAACCTATCTCGTGGTGCAAACTAGCCTTTTGCTGAGTTTGCCTTAAACGCAGTTGTAACTCTCTCCATGACGCTTGAAACTGTTCGTTACAGGAGCAGATTTCCTGTTATCACTTAAATGAAGTATTGACCCATTTACTGCTGGTTTAGGCTCATGTAAAAAAAATGAATTTTCTTCTAACCCAATGCTACTGTTCAATTGCAGCTTGCTTATTGACATCTATCTGTAATATCATTTAGATTTTGTGTCTGAGACACAAAAGAAACAAACTGAAACTTCAATGCACTGCCCTGCACCTTTTACCACCTGCAGTTAATGACAGAATTAAACGGCATGTACACAAAAAAGGTAAACTAAAAATATTAAAATAAGCCCCGCATATCTCCATGCACGTCACTGAAAAGGTTGTTGTTCTAGTTTTTAAAAGTAGCAACATCAAAAGACTTCAAGTTAGAATAAATCAGAAGAAACGACTTCAAGTAACGGTACGTACACCGCAATTATTTCTGTTTGTCAGTTTTCAAAACCGCCTGAGTTTATCGTATTATTACTAACAGTGAAGGTTTGATGTCAGGTCGTGACAGGAGGTAACCGTCTTAGTTTTAGCTGCATCTATTATATTTGAAATTTACTAGGAGTGTTTCTTTTTTGTGTGTCCCCAAATTAGTATGTTTTTTCCGCTAAGCTATATGGCTCTGACACATGAGATAACGTTTCTGTCTGTCTATCTATATTGTAATAGCCCTTTTGGGCCTTGGTAAATGTCATGCCTTGAAATGCTAAAAATCATTTTGAGATTAAAAAAGATATGCCGCCGTGTCAAGTATGAATTCTCTGGAGTTCTTAAGCAAGCAAAACGCCCACGAAACTTTGAAATCTTACTGGAGATGTAGTTTTGATTGCCTACCGAAGGATAAAACAAGTTAGTGAACGATTTTGACAATGTCATTATGACGATGTCTTGGCTGGAATTTACCATGTGATTAATATTTGTTTTAGCAGAAGAAATAAACAGACTGTCAGTACCTTTTTGTAAAGGTCTCTTTCAGATATTCTAAAAAAACGAAAGAGAAAAGGTCAGAAAAAGTCAGCCGAGAAAGAAAGTAACTACGAAAGAAATATTTTAAACAGTTGATGTTGCTGCGCCTTTCAGAGCTGCGTTTAACTTCTTCCTCGCCCATGAGAATGTTGTTTTACTAACGGTGGAGGGGGAGAGGACTTCAGCACAGAGTTTCTTTGCAAGCTAAATATTTCAAGTGGAAGACAGCAATACAAAAAAGAAACCTTTATTTTAATTGGCGGACTTATCACAATTACGCTTCGATCCACAATTACGTCCACTTTCGTATGATTTATTGGCATTGATCAAGACTCTAAATCTCCCGACAATAGAAGAAAAGCCCGCTAAAGGGACGGGATTTTTTTCTTTTCTTTTTCTTTGTTTTAAGGTACTTTAAAAATGCCGTTATTTTGCTCATAGCACTAAGCGCCGAATTCTCTGTGAATATCAGTGCGAAAGCTCAGTTATGATAAGGTAATACAGTACAGCATTAGAGCCATTGGGATGTGCCCAGCACCCATTTGAACAGGTGGTGGTAAATGACAATTTTGAAAAGCAGCAGTGCTCTTAAGCAGCAGCAATTGACAGTATTCAACCTGAGGAAGATGAGTTTCGTTTATGCGAGCTGCGCATTTTGTTTCTCAAGGTTAGTAAGAAAAGGAGAAATAAAACTTTATTAAAAAACATCCAATAAAAGATTACAGTATACAAGCATAAGATAAAAGTGTCATCCCAAAATCATTGATAAAAATGTATCTAAAATAAAAAGCCTTAGGCTTGGGGAAAAAAAGAGAGAAAAATGTTCAAAACAATGCTTGAAACGTGTCTACTTTATCTTTCCAATCACATTTGCGATTTCTGCCCCGCTAAAATCAGTGTTCAACTCATGTTTAGTTGTTCTGGAGCCTCTTACACATAAAACTGCTGATCTCAATAGGTTAAAACATAGTTTTGCTCTCAACCAATAAATCATAATGCTATAACCCATCTGCCTCTTATCGGATACTTTTTGAGCTAGTTCGATAAGAAATCGCTCGGCTTCTCTTTTTTTAGTACCGTTTCCACCATATGGTGAGAACACGAGAGGGCTGAAGGAGCCATGTTCGACTTCAATAATTCGCTGGTTGTAGTGTCGCTTTTTCTCGTTCTCATTGCTCGAGAAAGTCGTGTCAAGTTCCTGGTTAAGGTGACTCTTTGCAAACGGGTTAAAAAACCCTGATATCAAAAAAGGCACGTTGCCCCCTTTGCCAAAAACCGGGCGCGGTGACATCCAAACGAGCCTCATCAGAGGAGTTAGCACTGCTGATTAAAACTTCTCCTGTCAAAGGCTGATGGTGTGGCTCGACCTCAACATCATGACATACGTCCTCGAGAAGGGATGCGAATAGGTCTCGCACGTCGTCATGCCTCTTATGGACAAATCCGCCTTTCATACACGACATTGCATGATCAACATCGAATCTCTTGCCGCAAGGACATGTAGATGGAAGGTACTTCGGTGTCCAGCGGAACCTATAAAGACTGAGCGCATCGTAGAATTCCCTTTTGTTCAGGTCGAAGTTTTCTGACTTTAATGGCAATTTTATCAACCAACTTGAGGCACCCCTCATCTTTCCTGAGTCATTTGCCCTCAGTTGTTCTGGGCTAAACTTCTCACGAAGCTGCTGTAGGGTGGTGTTATTCAGCTCTTCCCTGGTGTTGGTAATCCGTCTCCTTGAGGTCTTGAATTGTTCACTATCCATTGGTGCTGTGCTGTCCTGATTGCATGATATGTTCAATCAGCTGTTCAGTAGCTGCGCGGGAAACTCAATATCAGCAACAGCCAAGAAGATAGGTATTGCCAAACCACCTTTCTTTGCAGGTAAGGAGAGCAGAAGTCGTTCATCTGCGGAGCACATGTGACCATCTGTAATAGCTGGAATAAATACATTGTCAACAATTACATCCAGTCGCGTCAGGTTTTGCTTGATGTTGGGCATTGTTCTGATGTAATACGTCAATTTATGTTTGAACCCGCTCACAAATGCTGCATAAGCTCAGCTTGTGGTTCTGTCTTTGCAATCTTCGACAGGACTTTCAGTTGGTCACACTACGAGCTTACCAGTTCCTCAGCGTATTTGCCGCATCTCCTTTCACTTCCAATGTAGCCGCTAAGATATTTTCTCCCGTCAATTGTGACGTTGATGCTGATTCCTCCAAAGATTTCTCGTGCTTTATCCTCAACTGTTGGCTTTACAACAAGCCACCACTTTGAAGGGTTCGAGTTATATCCCAACTTAGGACCCCACAACACAATGTTATCCCACCAGCGTCGTAGTTCTAGCAGTTCACCTGCTCCACCAAGATTATCTGGAAAGGTACACATAAGAATGCTTTATTTTTTCTGATTTTTCCAAGCCTAATTTGCACTGTTTTTTTTTTTAGACTTTTTGAGAAATTTGTTTTTGAAATTTATATCATGAACACTTACCATTTAGGTCATTTAATTGTGAAAAGTATCCCTAGGCTAGTTACGAGCAGGTCCTTTTAATTAGGTAATGTATTTAATTTCACCAGGACATCAAATGTTAAGAAATTCCTGTTCACTCTACCAACTAAAGATATTTGAGAGTTTCAAGGAAATCTAATCTCACAATTTTCTTCACAGAAAAAAAAAAGCTGACGCCAAACTTGAAATTTCTTGCCGAGTAAATTTTTATTTGGGTCTTAATAATGAGCAGTTTTATTAAGAATTACTAAACTGCCAATAACGAATCTCGCTTTGGGTATCGAATTCCCCTCAAAACAAATTTCGCGAACTTTGCTTTGGAAGAGTCGTATCATTTGAACTGTAGTAAATACTCAGGGGTTAATTTATCTGTAAGTCTTGCGACATTCAAATTCTACGTTTTGATAAAAGAAAAAAAGATGTGTCTAAAGAAATTTATTTTTTTGCAAAATTCATATAATCAAGCTACCGTCTGGTTGTCTAGTTTATATTGACAATACAAAAATCTATTCATCGCCAGTACCGGTCAGCGGTACTATGAGTTAGCATGCGTTATCTGTTGTTCGTAGCCTAGCGTCCGCCATATTGTTACTGTTACTTGGCCGCTAGTTGTTTCCCAGTTTGATTAAAGCCTTACACGAATTGGTCGTTCCTTGGTTCTTGTATTATCTTCCTAACTGGCGTGGTGGCAGCCAAGCCTCACCTTTTTACCGTACAAAGTCACTTTTAAGCCTCGACCGCAGGAACCAAAACAGTGTATCCTTCGCTGTGGAAACACGTCCCGGAGTTTTACCTCGTGTGTAATGGCGTCTTCTCACCGCGCACCGAAACAGTGGTGCCTTTCCAAGGTGGAAACTATTAATAGCTTCGAGAATTGGAAGCAAAATCTGCTTTACACATTATCATTGGACAGCAACTTCGCCCCCTTCCTAGCCGATGGCGTTCAATGGTCGAAAAAGACCAAAGCCCAACCACTTCGGGGACTCGAAGCCGATGGTGATTCCATACCTCTTGCTCGACGCCTCACCGCTCGACAAAAAGTCAACTTTCTCGAGCTGATGCTAGGTCAGATCGCGAATTACTGCCCTATCATTTCCCGAAGCACTTTGGTGAAAAATTCAACGTCACTCGAATACATCTGGCAAACTATTCGCCAGCACTTTGGCTTCCAGGCCACCGGCGCACAATTTATCGATTTTTCTTACATACACCTCGCAGCAGATGAGCGCCCTGAGGATCTGTACCAACGCCCCATGGCTTTTGTGGAAGATTCCTTACTACGCGCTAACGGTTTAACTCACCATGCGAACATGTTGCAGAGGATAAGGAACTAACCCCTACCCTAGAAAACTTTGTCGTTCTTACTTAGTTGCGACTCATTCACCCCAGTCTCCCTCGTTTAGTCAAGCAACGTTACGGCACGGAGTTGCGGTCTCGCACCCTTGCCTCAATTAAACCCGAGATCTCTCAGGCACTTAGCTCTCTCCTCGAGGAAATCTGCGCTTCAGACGATGCTAAGAGTCTACGTGCCGCGGTAGCTGATGATTTTCGTCGCCCCCGTCCGGGCGGCAGGAGTGACCCTAAGACCCGCAGCAGACAGCCCCGTCAGGACAAGGTCCGTCCCTTATGCAAGCAAGCCGGTCGCTCTAACACAAACCACTTCCTCTGTCAGTGTACCTTCCTCCTTGACAATGACAGGCGCTTCATGGTAAAAGCGAGACAGATCGTCGGCATACTGGACGACGAACAAGACACCAACTACGACCTTGATGCTGATCCATCCTGTCCTGAAACCACTTTGCCTACCCCTGACGTTGTTGCCTACCGTGTCCAGACCCGTCAATCTCCTTATATGGATGTCTTTCATGGTCACCGTGTTGTACGTATCACCATTGACAGCGGAGCCACTGGAAATATGATCCGTCACTCCACCGCGAAACATCTTGGATGTCCAATTATATCATGTGCTCAGTCCGTCCAGCGGGCAGATGGCTCTTCTCAGCTTCAGGTGGTCGGAGAGATGCGGACTTCCTTCACCCGCGACAACACCGACTTTACATTCGAGGGACTTGTCGTCGAGGATCTTGACGTCGAAGTGCTTGCCGGGACCCCTTTTATGGAGGAAAACGACGTTGCCGTGCGGCCTGCCAAGAGAGAGGTGCTACTTGGCAATGGCTCCACCTACACATACGGTTCCCAGGCCCCTCCCAGCCCTCCCACAACCGTCCGCAGAGCCTTTGTTCTCCGTGCTCCTACCCCCTCCAAGACTGTTTGGCCCGGAGAATTCTTGGAAGTACAGCTCCCCGACGATGCCCCCCCTGATTCAGAGTATGCACTTGAACGCCGCACTGATGCACCTAGTTTACGTAATCTCAAGCCCTCTCAGCTGTGGCCGCAACCAGGTGTCGTTTCCAGTGTTGTGCGGGCAATCCGCATACCAAACCTGTCAACCGAACCTCGAACGCTTAAGCGTCACGAACACTTCTGCCAGGTCACCCCCGTCTTCGAACAAACAGAGGAGTCACCGACAAGTCAGCCTCCTACTCAGCATCCGTTACCACCCTCTCATGCTAGCCACTCTGCATCCGTCCAGGTAGACCCAGACCGCATTCTCCCTGAGGCTGTCAGAGCCAACTTCCAATCTCTGCTCAGTGAGTACGACTCCGTATTTGACCCTCGGTTCCCAGGTTACAATGGATCCGCAGGTCCTTACCAAGCAAAGGTCAACATGGGCCCTGTCGAGCCCCCACAGCGGAAAGGCCGCCTCCCCCAATATACCCGCGATAAGCTCGTAGAACTCCAAGAGAAGTTCGACCATCTAGAGCAGCTTGGTGTCTTCCAGCGCCCTGAAGATGTTGGTATCACTGTGAATACCTGAACCCTTCTTTCCTTGTAAAAAAGCCGAACGGCGGGTTCTCGTCTTGTCACTGCCTTCGCTGACGTAGGCCGGTACAGTAAACCCCAGCCATCCTTGTTGCCTGACGTGGACTCCACCCTGCGCCGCATCGCCCAGTGGTCTCATATCATCGTGACAGACCTGACAAGTGCCTTTTACCAAATACCTTTGGCTAAAGAGTCCATGAAGTATTGCGGCATTGCCTCTCCGTTTACGCAGACGTCATCAAACGTTCTCGCCAGCTCATCTTTGTCCTCCGCGAGACTGTGACCTCTTACACTTCCAGTGTATCTCTTGAAGACGAGCGTCATCAAACGTTAAGTGACGCCATTGTAAAGCTCTGCTTAGAATTGCGCCCTATGGATGGCCCACCTGCCGTGATCCGTACTGACCCTGCCCCTGGCTTTAAGGCTCTCGTTAACGACCCTCTCTTAAAGAAGCATAGAATTACAATTGAGCTTGGTCAGGCCAAAAATCCGAACAAGAATCCCGTAGCTGAGAGAGCAGTCCAGGAGTTGGAAACGGAACTTCTCCGCCAGGAGCCTTTAGGCGGTGCCGTTTCTCCCCTCACTCTCGCCGTAGCCACTTCTGCCTTGAACTCTCGTATCCGTTCACGTGGCCTATCCTCGCGAGAAATGTGGACACAGCGGGACCAGTTTTCAAACCAGCAGTTACCCCTTGCCAACGACCATTTAATTGCCCTCCAGCACGAGCAGCGTCTATCCAACCACCCCCACAGTGAGCGCTCCAAAGCTCCATTGCACAACAGGCGTCTTACTCCTGTAATTGATGTTGGTGACCTAGTGTACCTTCATTCCGATCGGAACAAGTCTCGAGCCCGCGACCGCTACCTTGTTGTAGCCATAGATCCACCATTCTCTGATATCAAAAAGTTCATTGGATCCCAATTACGCAGCTCATCTTTCCGCGTCAAACTTACTGAGTGCTTCAAGGTCCCTTCCGACTTGGCTGATCCCTTACATCCTCCTCGCCAGTGTCGCGGCCATGACTCAGATGACGAAGACTGATACCACACCTCACCCCCCACCCTCGCTGCCTGACATCCCTGATGCTATCTCTGCTTCAGCCCAGCATCTATCTAACACTCCTCCCTGTGTTACACCACCTGCTCCCGCCGTTTCTGTCGACCGCATCATGGACGACACAGCTGCCCAGCCATCTTGCCCTGAGGACCGCTCTTTGGAGAAGGCAGTCGTTTCAGCACACCCTGACCCTCCTGGCCTGCGGAGATCATCTCGCACTAGACGTCGTCCTGCGCGTTTTGAAGATTATGATACTGAACTATAGCCTTTGTTACTGATCTGTGACGTTTAAGTCAGTTTAAGAGCTTAAGTAGTGCTTTTAAGTACTTTCCTCTATGTTTTTGGTTCCAGTTTTCTCGCTTACACGCTATGTAAAAAAAAGGAAAAAAGAAGTCACGCCAGTACCGGTCAGCGGTACTATGAGTTAGCATGCGTTATCTGTTGTTCGTAGCCTAGCGTCCGCCATATTGTTACTGTTACTTGGCCGCTAGTTGTTTCCCAGTTTGATTAAAGCCTTACACGAATTGGTCGTTCCTTGGTTCTTGTCTTATCTTCCTTACTGGCGCATCGTGAAAGAGACACCTGCGATTTGTTGAATAAGTATCTTTTTAACTGCTTTGGTCGCCCTTTGTGCGTATGATTTAAGTCTTCCCCGGTTGGGTAGATAACTACAACCAGTTGCAAAAGTACTTGAGAGACTGTACCGTATTTTGGCATAAATGGCCCGTCCATGATTTTGTGCTTGTGATCCCCCCTCCACCCCTTATCAAAGTTGCTAGCAATACAAGACCATATTTAAAACTTGGAGGAACAACTTTGAATGGGAGGGAGGAGGGAGGTCAGTATTATATTTTACAGACCTGTGACAAGGAGCGATTTGAAGCAGGAAAGGTCGTTTTTCCGTGGGAGTGTCTCATCATTTTTGCAACCGGTTGTAGCTTTTAGTCTGATGAAGATTTTCCTGCCGTCTTAAAAATACCCCCCTTGAATTCTGCTAAAACAAATCTTAATTACATGGTAAATTCCCCCCAAGACATCATCATAATAACATTGTCAAAATCGTTCACTAACTTGTTTTATTAAAATCCTTCGGAAGAAATCAAAACTACATCTCCGGTAAGATTTCAAAGTTTCGTACGTGTAGCTCATAGATGTCTCGGTCTCGGTTCACGGTACTCTTAATCGTACTTCAGTGGATCAAAACTGGTAAGCTTGCGTCTTACAGTTCCCAGGAACTTGATTACTTCACATCATGATATAGGAATTATAGAATTCAAGGGAAGGGATTTGTAATCCAATAGTACACATACGAGCCGCCAGGTCGATTTTCGTGCACGCACTAGAGATCCTTAAATTCCATGGAGATAGTGTCAAAATGGACTCAAGTAACTACAAGGCGTTATTCTTCACACATTTCCTTGCGCACCTCAGGTGTGCACATGAAGCGCTTTCTGTCAGTTCATCTGTCCATAGACTCATTTTAGGACAGGGTATAAATTAGACTACGACAAGAGAGAAGCTCATTCTCTCTTGTTTTCAATCCTCTTCTGCTTTAAGCTGGAAGTGCATTTTTTAGGAAGGCATTTTGTGAAGAGAGACTTTTTTTAAGTAAAAAAAACCTCATAGCTTAAATCGATCATGTTTTAGCCAGCCAACTGCAGTTTTCATACGCTGTGTTCGATTGGACAATTCGGTAGATTTTTCCCTCCTCTCCCTTTTGGCTTACAGGCGGCGCACCCAAGTTTAAGAGGTGAAGAGAGACTTTTTTAAAGTGAAAAATTCATAGCTTATATCGATTTTGTTTTAGCTAGTCGATACAGTTTTCCTACATGGGTTAATTTGGATCACGAATTCAGTCGATTTTTCTCTCCTCTCCCTTTTGGCTTACAGGCGGCGCGCCTAAGTTGAAGAGGTGAAGAGAGACTTTTATAAAGTGAAAAATTCATAGCTTATATCAATACATTATGTTAATTTGGATAATTCAGTCGATATTTCTCTCCTCTCCCTCTTGGCTTACAGGCGGCGCGCCCAAGTTTAAGAGGTGAAGAGAGATATTTTTTAACGTGAAAAACTCGTAGTTTGAATAAATCATGCTTTAGCTAGCCAATTGCAGTTTTCATACGAACTGATAGTTTAGATAATTCAGTCGATTTTTCTCTCCTCTCCGTTTTGGCTTACAGGCGGCGTGCCTAAGTTGAAGAGGTGAAGAGAGACTTGTATAAAGTGAAAAATTCATAGCTTGTATCGATCATGTTTCAGCTAGTCGATACAGTTTTCCTACATTGTGTTAATTTGGATAATTCAGGCGATATTTCTCTCCTCTCTCTCTTGGTTTACAGGCGGCGCGCCCAAGTTTAAGAGGTGAAGGGAGAAATTTTTTTAACGTGAAAAACTCCTAGCTTGAATAAATCATGCTCTAGCTAGCCAATTGCAGTTTTCATACGAAGTGATAGTTAAGATAATTCAGTCGATTTTTCTCTCCTCTCCCTCTTGGCTTACAGGCGGCGCGCCCAGTTTAAGAGGTGAAGAGAGATATTTTTTAAAGCGAAAAACTCGTAGCTTGAATTGGTCATGTTTTAGCTAGCCAATTGCAGTTTTCATTCGATGTGATAGTTTAGATAATTCAGTCGATTTTTCCCTCCTCTCCCTCTTGGCTTACAGGCGGCGCGCCCAAGTTTCAGAGGTGAAGAGAGATATTTTTAAAGGGAAGAACTCATAGCTTGAATCGATTATGTTTTAGCTAGCCAATACGTCAAAAGAATGCTACACTATCAAATCTATTAAGTCAGCTAAAAAGAGAGGAGAGTTTCTTGGCTTACAGGCGACACGCCCAAGTTTAAGAGGTGAAGAGAGAGAACTTTTAAAGTGAAAAACTCGTAGCTTAAATCAATCATGTTTTAGCTATCTAGTTGCAGTTTTTCTTACGATGTGTTAGATTGGATAATTCAGTAGATTTTTCTCTTCTCTCCCTCTTGGCTTACAGGCGGCGCGCCAAGTTTAAGAGGTGAAGAGAGATATTTTTTAAAGTGAAAAACTCTTAGCTTAGATCGATCATGTCACTTAGCTAGCCAATTGCAGTTTTCATACGATGTGTTAGTTTGGATAATTCAGTAGATTTTTTTCCCCTCCCTTTCTGCTTACAGGCGATGCGCCCAAGTTTAAGAGGAGAAGGGAGAGTTTTTTAGAGTGCAAAAATTAATAGCTAAAATCTATCATGTTTTGGTTAGTCATTGCAGTTTTTTTTTTGGTAATCGTAATTTCCATGACTCTCGCTCTGGATAATAGTGTGCGTGATGTGTGTTGCAAGTGTACTGTGCATTCAAAAATATAATGATAGTTTCCTGAATTGTTTTGATTGTCCTTATTTATTCTTTATTCAATAGGTCGGCTAAAATGTAAGACAAAGATTGAAGCTTTAATGCAGAATGTTTCAAGTCTATTTGCCAATTATTTATCCTTTCGACAGTGCACGTGAATAACAACTTTGGGTGTCCACTTAGGATAAACAGGATAAAGTGTCAAAGATGAAAGATGTCCACTTAGGATAAACAGGATTAAGTGTCAAAGATGAAAGATTGCTCAT